AGATTGAAAATAGAACTAAAAATTTCATCATAAAGTGCATATTTTCTTATGGAAATATATAACCAATTGTTTAAAATTTTACAATATTCATTGTCTGTCTTGCAAGATTGTGTGTTATTGCAAAATATACCAAAATTTTTTAAAAGTTTTACACATAATTCATAATAATTACCTTTTTTATTTTTCAATTCATTTGTAACTGTGTTACAAAATTGATGATATAATATGTTTTCTCTAGACATATCCACTTTTTCATCTAATTGATCATACACATCCCATACTTCCCGTAACAAGGGATACTGAAATTAAAGAAAAAATACATGAATTCATATAAATTAATGAAGATTAGAATGTTATAAAGTGTTTTATAAAATTCCAAATGTGCTATTTTATATAAAATTATTTTCAAATGATGTATAAAACAAATGCACTTGATTTCCAAGATTTTTAAAATAAAGGGCAAACTTAGACATAATTTTTATATTGAAAGATAAAAACCATTTCAGTATGTATATTCATAAATAAATTATCATAGTGCACAATCTGCATATATATTATGTTTATTTATAATTTAAAAGAGTAAGTAAAATATATTAGCCTTAAATAAACTTTAATTCGTTTACATATTAATATAAAAATAATAATATTAAAAATAGGCATATAACTTTCCAGAAACATGTTGAACAATATATTATACAAAATGATTATATTAAAATATTTTTACAAGTATATTAAATAACTCTATTAGACCTATGTATTTAATGAAAAATGTAATATATTTGTCCATAAATATAAATGTAAAATATTAAGCATATTTTATTTAACATAATACAAACAACCAATTAACGCATGTCTTATTAATACACATAATAGTACAGAGTTTTTATTGAATAAATTATTTATTTTCAGGAATATTATATTATTAATTGTGGTTCATTATATTGCTAATATTAGATAATATTTTTGAATTATAATATTTTTTGTAGGTATTAAACAGATGATTAATGCATAAGAATAATGTAAAATGAATAATACAGTATAGATATTTAAATGAAAATAAAACATATTATATTATATTAATAATATATATTATATTCATAATGTTTTTACAATAAATACATTGTTACATAATTTTTATATTTCACAAAATAATTTAATAATGATATACACACTTCCCCTTTGCGTAGAAATTGTTATTTATTATCTAATATATAGGAATGATTCAACATACACTAATTCTCTAAAATTAATTTTAATCATTAATTTATTATCAAAATTGGACGATGTTTAATACAAATTATGTTTAATATATTTATTATTAGGATCGTACAACATATGATTCCACAAGAAAGTTAATAATAACAAAATCAATAAGACATAGAATTTTGTATAGAGAATAATAATAAGTGAATTTAAATTATATGCGTAGGAGAATATATTTTCTAATATATAGATATATTTATTTAAATTATTCTGTATTCATCACACATTGCAGTGGAATAATGATAAAACACGGCACGGTAAGATATATACTATTATCACAGCACAGTATGTTTTCGTATAACATAATAATAATCGGTTATATATATTATATGATATTCGATATATATTTTTAGGGAAAATACATATTACATGACTACATAAGCATTTCATTATATATATTTTTTTTCGTATACCTAGGAATCAATAAAAGCATAATAAAAATATACACATATTAATGAAGAATCATATTATGTTTAAGGATGTAAAATTTTATTACACATAACAAAAAAATTGTTACGTTTCTTAACCAGTATTAATCAAATATAAATGTATTTTATATACATTTTCCAATAACATATGATATTATGTTAATATAATATATTTAAGCATATTTTTCCATGTAGAATTAATTTTATATTATGGATATACATACCCATGTAACACACACACATATATATATTAAGAATAAATTTAATGTACCATAAAATATTAGTTCAGTAAAATATATATAATATTATAAATTGAATTATATGTAATGCGTATGCCGTTTTTATATATCTAATATTTTATTATTAATCATGTCTAATATTATAATAATTTAATAGAATAATAACGCTATGGTACATAAACCACAAAATATATTATATGGCACACATTATTTTTAAATTGAAATTGTTCTATAATAAATTTTATAACTTATTATGTATACATGTTTTACCAAAATTTTTAGTCAATAAATCAATTAAAATTATATACACTCACTATTAGAAAATTTTAACATTAATATATATTATAAAAAAATATTGGATATATCACATTGAATATATAAAAAAGAATTTTCATTAGATATGCATTCCTAGTACTATCAATTTTGTCTTAATGCATATTATACCCTAGAATTCATGTAGCATATTCATTAAATTGACCATTTATATATAATGCTCATTAAGAATTTATATCACACATTAGAATACTACACTATAAATGATAATAATTTATATAAATATATATAATTTATTTTTTGACATAATATTTTTCAATGAAAAAATTATTTACTCATCTTTTATATAAAAATTAATAAATATCCTCTATTATAAGTCATTAAAACCTGATTTTGTATTTATCTTAATTATCATTAGTAAAAAGTTTTAATTTATTTATAATATGAATTATATTATGTGACTCGTTTTATTATATTATTTACTAAAAGTTTATAGATGTATGTATTAATCACAGTATATAGTTAAATATTGTATTGCACACAATTGTAGCTTAAGAGGAAAGTTTATTCTTTCTATAATAAACTCATGCTATTTTACATTTGTTAAAATTGCTACCGTCTAAATAAATTAAGTTAATTTCTTATGGTGAATATTTAATTTGATATAATAAGTCATTAGTTATAATATATAAGGGAAAAAATTTATCACCAATTATATATAATTTTAAGGCGTAAAATATAATGGATTTTTGCAAAACTTATATGAAAAAATATAGTTAATATTAGTACTAAAAAAATTGTATTATCAAAAACCCCCCAAAATATGAACGCATATATATAAAATAATAGAAATATAGAGAAAAAAATATATATATAAAAAAACAAGAATAAATGTTTCATGGAAAAAAAAAACAATTGTTCTTAATATTCCATGCTATGTAATATTAATTATATTTCTGTTATGTGCAGTTTTAAATGTTTCTCCTATGTTATCATTCATTCATATATTTCCATATCTGACGTATTTTCATATAAGTGTCAAAGTAAAGAAAAAATATACATTTCTGTATCCTTATTTAGAAATATTCTTTTTTACATTAAGAATAATGTTAAAGAATTCAAAATCAAATAATAACTGTCCATTTCTGTATGGTTTATTTATACCGAAGGCAGTAAGGATGTGGTGTAAAAATTTGAAATGATAATAATATGTTTGTATATTATTTTTTTCAAAAAAAGTTGTGACAAAAATAAACTTATATAATAATATAAAGTATTTATACATTATATAAGCCATAAGTGTTTCATTACACTAATATGAAAACCATGAAAGTTGTGCCTCATTTCTACAATAGGCATTGAATACGGAATAATAATTAAAATATATGCTATATTTTTTGAAAAATATTTATTTTTTTAAATATATATATATATATTAAAATGAATTACATGCATATATATTATGATTTAAATTTTTTTAACATAATTATAATTTCTTATGTTTCATATAAATTGGTGTTATTAAATTTTTAGAAAATTTTTGTGAAACTCAATTTATGTATATTTAAATATAATATTATAGAGCTGTATTATCCTTTCCAAAGAATACTTCACAAATATTTTGATCTATAAATAACTTCGTTTACTTATATTTACCAGTATTTTTCATCGACTCAGTGATATTCATTATATTTTATTTAGTAATATGCTATTAATTGTTGTTGTAAATTATATTTATGCAATGAAATACATGCTTGCATATATTAAGTAATATATTTCAATGATTGTTTTTTAAAATATTATTAATAAATGTACTTTTAATTACGTGTTTTGATTTGTTTACGTAGCAATAACACCAGAACTCATAACTATATTTATTTGACCCATGTTATTAGTAATATATATAATGAAAATAATTAATAATTTGGGTAACACAAATTATGTAATGTCCTATGATACATGTCTTTTATAGTTATATATTACTTAATACAATAAATTGTCATTTTGGCATTATCCGCAAGCGAAATAGATGTATATATAACACCAAGAATAGACATTTTTTATATTCATGGAAGACTACATTTTAAATAAGAAAAAAATAGTTAAATTTCATCGTATTCTTAATCAGTTTTTTCGTTGTACGTGAATGAAAGGAATTATACTCTATTATATTACTCATATGAGCTTTATTATTTGTGTACTAATCTACAATATTATATTAATAACAGGAACAACACTTATTATGTAATCAATATAGCACATATTATGAAATGTATAATAATTGTGTTTTGGTGCACTATTCAATATGTTGAGATGTAGTATACCAAAAATATCACACGAGAAATATGCTCATGTAATTTATTTATATATAAGCATACTAGGATTCCATTAAACATACTATAAAATTCACATAACAAGTCAGGAGTAATACTGTATATATGTGCATAATTATTTTTATAACCATAAAAATATATAATAAGCTATGATAGGTATTTTTATTTAACAATTAACTTTTATATTACACAATAACAACTCATCTTGTATGAAAATAATTACATGTAAATTAATAATTACTTTCATAACATCATATATTGCGCAATTTAAATGTATTCAGTATATATGTATACATATATTTTCATAATAGATATAATTGTCCGAGAATTATTCTAATATTTTTATATAATTTCCTATGAACTTGTTAGTCTGTAGAATATTTATATTTTTAAAAAAATCACAAATTATACCAAGTTTTTTATTATTTATTATATTATTGTTGTTAGATTCTTCTAAAGTACGCGTAAATTTATATTTAACCAAATATACTAGAAAAGAAAATATAATCATATATATTTGTGTTTAGAATTAACTTATTCAAAATTACGTGAGAGTAAAAAAAAAAATCATATTATATATGAATTTGTTTGACAATCCTTCGTATAGAACAAAAGAATGAATCGAATTTTTTGGAGTTACATTCATGATTTAAGCATAAGATCAAGACAAAGAAAAAATGATTGATATTATTTTTCCTTATAAAATATATTAACTGGGATTATAAAGTTGTTTTATATATTATTCCTTAACTATTGTAGTTTAAAAATATTAATTAGAAAAAAAATTAGTTTGGGGTTTATGTTTGGTGCCATAATATTTTATTATAGTAGAAATTTATTTGCATAACTATTACCATTAATATATAAACAAATCTTGGTGCTATTTATTATTAAAAAGAAAAAATATAATAAACAAAATTTTAAATATTTTTCTTAA